TGCCTGTTGCTCGCCGCCTTCATCGGCAGTCTCCTCTACATGGTGGTGCTGCATCATCGCCTGAAGGCGAGGGGCCTGCAGCGCGAGGAGATGCTGCTCTCGACACCGCTGCCGGACGACGCCGACCTGCCGCACGTCGTCGTGCAGATCCCGTCTTTCAACGAGGGGCCGGTGGTGAAGCGCGGTGCGGAGTCGGCCGCCGCACTCGACTGGCCGCGCGACAAGCTGCACATCCAGCTCCTCGACGACAGCACCGACGAGACCGCGGAGATGGTTCGTCAGGTCGCGGCCGATCTGCGCGCCAAGGGCTTCGACGTGGTGGCGCTGCAGCGCACCGACCGCAGCGGCTACAAGGGCGGGGCGCTGCACGAGGCGATGCAGAAGACGCCCTACGATTTCTTCGCGATCTTCGACGTCGACTACATTCCGCCGACCGACTTCCTGCGCGTCTGCATGCGGCCGTTCTTCGCCGAGCCCAGGACCGCTTTCGTCCAGGCCCGCTTCGATTTCCTCAATCCGCACGAGAACGCGCTCACCGAGATGCAGATGGTGACGCTCGACGCCCATCTCGGCATCGAGCAGGCGACGCGATGCTGGGCGGGCCATCCGCTGCCCTTCAACGGCACCTGCGGGATCTGGCAGCGCGCCGCCATCGACGCCGGCGGCGGCTGGAAGGGCGACACCGTCACCGAGGATCTCGACCTCACCTATCGCGGCTTGGGTGAAGGGCTGGCGGGCACTCTTCCTCACCAGCGTGGGCGTGCCGGGCGAACTGCCGGCCGACACCAAGACCTGGCTGCGCCAGCAGCAGCGCTGGCAGGACGGCTTCCGCCATGTCTCGATGCGCATGTTCCCGGAGATCCTGAAGAGCCGCGATATCACGCCGTCGGCCAAGCTGGCGGCGCTGCTGCATCTCTGCATGGCGCTCAACCAACCGGTGCTGCTGGTCGGCGTCGTGTCGGGTATTTTGGCCGGATTGCTCGCGCCGTCGCTGGTGCCGCTGCTGCTGACGCTGTTCGTGATCACCGTGGCCTGGGTGCTGGTCTGCGCCACGACCTTCCTGCGCGCCGGCCACAATTTCATTCGCGGCGGCGAGATCCCGCCGCTCGAGTTCGCCGTGGTCCTGATGCGCTTCGTCGGCGGCCAGATCGCCACCGTCGTCCGCTCGTTCGGCGTCCACTTCAGGAAGATGTTCAGCAAGCCCAAGCCGGTCGTCTTCGACCGCACGCCCAAGCGGGGGAACTGACACCTGTCATCCTGAGCGAAGCGAAGGATCTCATGCCAGCCCCGGAGTCGTCTGGTTTTTCCGTGAGGTCCTTCGCTTCGCTCAGGACGACAGTTTCGTGACAGGTTCGCTCTAAGCCAGCACGCTCTCGCGCAGCAGTGGATGATGGGCGCAGCGCAGGCCGCCGCCCAGCCGGATCGGTCCGTCGAAGGGCAGGGGAATGACATCCATGCCGCGGGCCCGCAGTTCGCCGATCACGCGCACGTTGTCGGCGTCGGCCATCATGCGCCCTTCCTCGAGGATCAGGCCGTTGGTCGCGAGCCGCGTCGCCTCCTCGATCGAGACCGGAATCTTGTCCCAGTCGCGAAGGCTCATGGGCAGCCCGTCGATCAGTTTCTCCGGGCAGTAGATCAGGAGGCCCGGCCTCACCAGCGCCAGGGCGCAATCGAGGTGGAGCACATTGGACTTCATGGCCACCGGGATCACGCGGTAGGGCGAGCCCAGCAGACCCTGCAGCCAGT